CGGCAGCTGCTGGTGCACACGGGCGAGAAGCCGTTCCCGTGCCTCGAGTGCGGCAAGTTCTTCCGCCACGAGTGCTACCTCAAGCGCCACCGGCTGCTGCACGGCACCGAGCGGCCCTTCCCCTGCCACATCTGCGGCAAGGGCTTCATCACGCTCAGCAACCTCTCCCGGCACCTGAAGCTGCACCGCGGCATGGACTGACCACGCCCCTGCCGCCTGCGGCTGGACTCGGGGTCCCCAGGGGGCCGCCCAAACCCAGACAGGGGCCCTGAGATGAGGGGGCCCTGGCTGGAGAGATGGAGCCACCAGAAACCCATATAGGCCCTGAGCTGGGCACCCCCAAATCAATGGGCCCCTACGCTGGGGAGACCAAGAAATGGGCCGACACAAGTACTAGTCACTCGAGGGCCCTAATAAAAGACGGGCACCCCTCCCCAAGGGAAGCCTGCCCCTCCCGGAGAGCCATCATTCCCAACGACCTTGGTCTGGAGACTGTTGGGGGACCATGCCCCCGGATCTCCCTGGATCCCTCCAAATGCACCCCTGCAATCACTGGTGCCCCTAGGTGATGGATAGAGCCAGAATCTGCCTTCCCCCGTTGCATTCCCTGTGCGGAAGGAGGACCAGGGTAGATCCCCCTGCCCTCAGCCCACTCCCCGGTCAGGCCGCCCCCCCCTACTGCGGAATGGGTCAACCCTAGTGGTCTCCCCACCCCCAAACACTAGACTAGGCTGGTTGGGCGTCCCCCCGCCCAGTAGGATGGACTGGTCCAGATGCGCAGCCTCCTGTCCACTGGAATGGGCTGGCCCTGCCGTGGCCGGCGCCGCACCCTCTTCACAGCGGACACGGCAGGCACGCCCCTCCTCTTCTGCGTCATTCCCGACCTGCGAGCTCACCCAGCGGGAGCTGGCGGACACTGGGGTCTCCTCCCACTCTGTCCTAGCACCTGTTGGTCTTCCCCTCTGTCGGTTTGTCTATCTCTGTGTTCCAACCCTAAGGGAAAGCGGGGGCTTGCTAGGGGGTTCTCCCCATGAGCCTGGACCTCACCCCCTCATCCCCAGTCCCCGTGTCTCCAAGACCCCAATAAACCTCATCCTGTCGGTCAGTGCCGTCTCATTGTCTGAACCTTGGCCCCAGGGCGTGGGGGTTCCTCCCTCCTGACTTAGACCAGGCCTCTCGCGGAGTGAAGGAATGTGGAGTCCTTGACCCTATCAACTACATGGAACCTGCCCCTTAGACACAAGCTGTGTCTCCACATATGGACATCCCCCTAGAACCAGACAGCCCCCCCCTTTTAAATATATTTTTATTGATTTCAGAGAGGAAGGGAGGGGGAGAGAGACAGAAACATCAATGTGAGAGAGAATCATGGATTGGCTGCCTCCCGCCCTCACTGGCCAGAGAGGCATGAGCACCAGGCAGCCCAGCTGCAGGCCCTCCCTCCCCCTCTCTACCTCCCCCTCCTCAGGCCTTCTCCTTGTTACTCTCGTGCCCAGTCTCCGTTGCCCTGGGCACTTGGGCTCCGCTGCTGTTGGCAGGGATGGGAAGAAAGCTTTCCCTTTCTCTTTGATCTCATCAGAGCCGCAGCTCATTAGACTTTGAGGAAAACCAGAGGAAGCCCGTGAGAACTTCCCCGTCATAAACACTTGTCAGAGCGAATGGTGACGTCATGACACCTGGCGACCCTCCACAGCCCGGTGTGTCACTGCGTGCGGAGGATGCACGGTTTACAGAACGTGTGCATGTGTCCTGTGGCCTCGTGTCGGGGGGAGTTATGTTTGTTCTGCTCTGTTTTGCTTTAAGAATGCAGTTTCCTGGACACAAACGTTGCCGTGATTCCCTTCCCTGTGGTTGAGGAAGCCCCGACCTGCAGCTTCAGGGCGGGGCCTTGGCGTAGCGCCTGGCTCCGTGGTTCCTGGGAAGGGGAGGTGGGCTCAGGGCCGGGGACAGCGCCTGCCACCTCAGAGGTGTTTCAGCAAAACAACTATATATATGTTATTGATTTCAGAGGAAGGGAGAGGGAGAGAGAGAGATAGGAAAGTCAATGATGAGAGAGATTCATGGATCGGCTGCCTCCTGCACGCCCCCTACTGGGGATCGAGCTCACAACCCGGGCCTGTGCCCTGACCGGGAATCGAACCAGTGACCTGGCAGTGTATGGGACAGTGCCCAACCAAATGAAGTACACCGGCCAGGCCCAAGGGGGAGTCTTGGCCCTGGACTTCCAGCCTGGAGAACTGGGAGCCATATTGTCTGTTGTTTACAAGCCACCTGGTCAGTAGTATTTTGTTACAGCGGCCCACACAGACTCAGACATCCATCAACAACACCGCAGAGAGCCCGGCTGACTTGGCTCGGTGGTTGAGTGTTGACCTATGAACCAGGAGGCCACAGTTCCATTCCCGCTCAGGGCACATGCCCACAGATTGCGGGCTCGATCCCCAGTGTGGGGCATGCAGGAGGCAGCCAGCAGCTGTGCAATGATTTTTCTCTCACCGTTGATGTTTCTGTCTTTCTTTCCCTCTCCCTCTCTGAAATAAATAACAATATATTTTTAAAAATACAAAGACAAAAAAAAACAAAAAACTCCCACCTGCCATGGAGAAAGAAGACCAGCCCCCTTAGTTACAGGCTTGGCACCAAGGACATGGCCCGCCCACTCGAGGCTGGCTCCCTCAGCCCGGAGAGTGAGCGCCTGGAAAACAGCCAGGGTTGTCATGGAGACGGCCTCGGGCTACGGAGTCAAGAACAGGGAGCTCAGGAGGCGGAGGCCTCCACCCACCACACCTCCACCTGATTCCTCCCTCAGAGGGCGGGGCACTTCAGCAGCCAGCACAGCAAGCCCCGCCCCCAGGAGTTTGTAGTCCAATGGGAGGCCAGGTCCGCAATGAGTGGGTTGGCCATACATACAAGATTGAAAATAAAGGCAGAGTATGGACGAGAGGGTGACGTGACAGGGAGGCTAATTTATTTATTTATTTTTAACGTTTGTGTGTTTTTTTAAAATATGTTTTATTGATTTTCTACAGAGAGGAAGGGAGAGGGATAGAGAGTTAGAAACATCAATGAGAGAGAAACATGGATCAGCCACCTCCTGCATGCCCCCCACTGGGGATGTGCCCGCAACCAAGGTACATGCCCTTGACCGGAACAGAACCTGGGACCCTTAAGTCTACAGGCTGACGCTCTATCCACTGAGCCAAACCGGTTCTGGCTATTTTTAAAGTTTTAAAAAAATATATGTTGATTGATTTCAAAGAGGAAAGAAGAGAGAGAGGTAGAGACATCAATGATGAGAGAGAATCACTGATCCGCTGCCTCCCACTCGCCCCACACTGGGGATCAAGCCTGCAACACAAGCATGTGCCCCGACCAGGAATCGAACCGTGACCTCCTGGTTCATAGGTCGAGGCTCAGCCACTGAGCCACACCAGCCGGGCAAGGGAGTAAGGGGAAAATAGGGAAGGGCACGCCAGGCACATGGAACGGCCCCTGCGAAGGCCCTGAGTCCAGAAAGAACAAAGACGGCAGTGTGGCTGGAGCAGAATGAAGCAGAGGGAGAGAGGCAGCCGCGAGGGAGGCCCCAGGAGCCAGGCGAGTAGAGCCTTTTAGGCCGGGGGACAGGAGAGGAGGACCCCCGTTCCGTGCCCCCCCCCCTCACGCCCGCCTTCCCCCAGAGGGGGTCCAGGCAAGAGTGACAAGGTGTGACCCAAGGGCACCTCTGAAGGCACGGGAAACAAAAGAGCCAATGAGGAGGCAGTTTCAGTGGGACT